TATATTGATGACTTGAAGGATGGGGCAGAGAGACTTGAGCCTAATGAGCTCAGCAACTGCGTCCATTATTTTGCATAAAGTGCACGGAGGACTCAAAGATAACAACAGCTTCAATAGTTTATAGTTAAGAGGCATTTGTCAAGGTTAATCTATGGTCTTTTTATGTCGTTGGATTAGTGAAATACATTTGATTTGATGTTATGTTATTATTATGGGAGCCCACCTTTGCATTCTAATTTGTCAACCTTGTGACATCATTTGTATTATATAAAAGCTGTGAACTTTGTGTGAGTTTCTGAAACTTATATGCTAGCTAGGTTACGTACGTGTGTCTCTAGGCCTATAAACAAGTATCCAATGTTTAATAAGTAGACATTAGTAAACATAAACTCAATCAAATTAACTAGAGCAGTATGTTCACCGTAATTTAGATGAATTTATCATAGAATATCTTGTGTGTGTGTGTGTGTGTGTGTATAAATGTAATTAAGGTTAGGTAATTATAATGCTAAACAAATAAGAATTTTTTGTAAAAAAAACATTCGTGCATGTATCCAAATGCTTCTGTTCCTCCTTATCAGAAAACTAAATGAAGGTTGCATTTGCTGGCTAATTAAGCTGCTTAATTATAATTATAACGAAAATAAAAGAACAAGAATTCTGAAAATATATATAAAGGTTTACAAGAATATTTATATAGGTTTAGGGACATGATTAAGAATCTGATAGGACTTTGTAACCACTACAACAAACATTAAGAATTAGGGAGCTAGTGAAGATCTTTTATATTTAGATTACTTTTGGGCTTACGAACTATAATTCTACATGTTAATATAATTTTCTGAGAAATGTTGCATATCATGTGGGGAAACTAGATATGGTATAACAAATGCTTAAACTGCTGAATAAATTGAAATTTTCAAGTAGATTGTTTTTGTTTGTACTCTATTTGGATTAAGAATTATGATTTGACTTTGGAAAAATTAGGGATAAGCTTGACTTTCTTTATATTTCACGATATATGGAGGACATTATATGTGGAACACCGAGAACAACGGTAACAGAAATCCCCATAACAGTATCTTCATTACCCAACAAAAAGTCAATTAATATGCGTGGATGAGCTTTTGTATGCACAATTGTTACTCTGTTAGAGCCAATTGAATTCGGGATTAGGCTGGTTTAAGCTCTCTCCTTTTTGCACCTACAGATATAGAATGGGAGGTAGCTAAAAGAGGCTTCACACGCTTCAACAAGATGTACAAGTTAGTTACTCCTGCTCGATGCTGTATTTGATTACGTTGGTTTTTCTCTCATCTGAGCATGAACAAGAGTGCTAAAAGAGGAGGCAGCTCTCCATTTACACATCATTACTGACAATACTTTTAGGGCTCGTAACTTGGATTAGATTGAAGTGTATCTATCTATACATATATATACAGTGAAAAGGCAAAAAATGTGAAGTTTTCAAAATGAAATATTGAGATAAAAATCATTCAAGGTATGTTGAGTTAAGGATTAGGGCTAGTAACTTATAAAATTCAAGGTATGTTGAAAGTAGATGTAAACGATTTATCATTTGAAGAAGATTAGATATTAATGAGTATTCCTGTCTTTATCCCTTCAAATGAAAAATCATTCACCTTGTACATTCAAAATATCTTTATTTTTTTTATCTACTCGAATATAATCTTAACTACCAAATCCTAAGAGCAGAAGGGCCAATCTAACTAGTCAAATTCATTTCAAAATATACTTAAAAAAAAATAAAATGAGCTAGCTAGCACCAACCAATAATACCATATTAATATAAGCAGTGCGAGTCCATGTCTATCCTGTTATTAGGACCACCTTTACCAGCTCGATTACAATAGTTTTAACGAAAATGGTTGGTCTTCTTGATGATGAAATGAGACCTTTATTTCTTCATTTTTAATTCTTTCGTTTTTGCTAGAGGATGAAATTGCAGTGTCAATGCAAAGATCCTAAAGTCTAGAGAAAGACAAGCAGAAGCTTGTTTTCTCTCTCTCAAAGATCCGAGTCCATTTGGTGATTAAGAAATTAATATTTTGAGGGATTGCTTTTTGAATTTGATAGTTTCCTCTTGTTATTTCTACGTGGTTGGGGTTCTCGACCTCCCTCTTTCTCATCCTTGATTAACAAAATTCATTAACACATTAAAGTATATATGTAGCAAAGGTCAATCAGTGGTATATTTTAAAAAGGGTTGAAATCCCTATACAACTTTTTATTTTTTATTATAATACTAATCGTATGGCCCCTATCCAACTTGTATCTTAGGTCTTTTCTTTAGGTAACAAACTCTGGGTTTTATTTGAGTATTTTTTTCGTCATATATAGTGAAAAATAATAAGAAAACAATAAAGAGACAAGCAGAATGTTTCACTTGATCAATGCTATAAGAGAACTTTCTCCTCTTATTTGTAATTTCCCATTTGTAAAAGTAGGACACGGTAGTCAAGATAAGCCCTTGTTTAGTTCAAATAGATGGGTTAAGTAGTTCTGCTTTTTTGCTAGTACTTGTGCAGATGTGTGTAGGGTTTTGGTGGAGATGACACAAGTAATTTCAAACTTGTAGATCTGTTTTAGCTGGCTTAATTATGATACAATTAATCTTATATATATATATATATATATATATATATATATATTTTTTTTTTTTAAGTCCAAGGGCATGGACTTTCCAACACCAGTTGTAAGAAAAAACTTAATTGTCACTTACAAGTCAAACGGGATGGATATAATCAGGCGCTATCTTCTTTGTCACTCTGAAAATGCGACTCTTATTTTTCTTGGCAAGATTTTGAAATCCAATCCGTTTGTTATGATTACTAAGTGGTACCCAGCTAGTTTGAAATGCCTAAATTGTTGCTGAGCGATATGCATAGTAGTTTTTTTCTAGGACCTTCAATCTGCTATTGCATCTTCAATTTGTTAGCAAATCAAGTGGGAACCAGTCATATAGAAGCAGTAATGCATAAACAATAGTACAGTATTCTCAAATTCATTGAAAGCATTTGTCCCAAAAAGAATATCATAGGTAAATAGACAAATTGGATATAGTTCAGAAAAAATAGATCATGAAAGACAGATAATTCTGGCAGGACAAAACTAGTTTAGGAAGTACATAAAGCGGTAAGATGAACTCTACCTTTTGCATTTTATATGAAGTTTTTTTTTTCCTTATAAATGATGATCTACTGTAAGGGGTGAGGAATTTGGACTAAGTCATACAATAAGTTAGTCATTATAATTAGATATCGAACTTGTCATCCATGTGAGTTGAAGCAGAGATATCTTGTAAATAACAGGTGGAGAAAATACTGCTATAGGCCATAGTTCAAGTGACTACTCACAAAATTAGATATAAAAGGAGGCATTAGCGTAGGACGAAAAGGGGTGGGGGGGGGGGGCACACCAAGCGACACTTTTTTTTTTTGGCCGTGCCGTGAAGTGAATTGTATCGTATGACGTTGAGTTTCTCGACCCTTTACAAAAGGAGGCATTAGTGTAGGACGAAAAAGGGGGGGGGCACCAAGCAACACTTTTTTTTTTTGGCTGTGTTGTGAAGTGAATTGTATCGTATGACGTTGAGTTTCTCGAACCTTTGCCTTAGGATTAGTCAGTTCTAATTCTCGATGGGGTTTTATTATGATAGCTAACGACGAAATTGTGGCCTTAATTTCCTTGCTTAATTATTTTTTTTCCCATTTTTATACAAGTGATATTGGGAGAGAGAAATCCATTCACAGGACATGCAAGAACAAAAACTATTTAAAAAAAAAAAAAAAAAAAACAAACAATAGTATCTATGCTAAGGAGGCTATTAACCATTTGAGTTACAAGCTTTATAAGTACTTTAAACACAAAATTTATAAGTTTAAAGTTCCCTATATGTTATTGGTTAGAAAATAAATTTAAACAGATTTTTAAGTTTATGGCGCAGTTTGGTTGAATAGGTTTCCCAGTTTTCTCTTATATCCAATTAGGGAAGTGTTATTTGCACTCCAAAAATCTCATTCTACACTCCTCACAAGTGTATTTTTCTTTCCTAATATAGAAAGTTTGGAGTGTAGAATGAGATTTTTGGAATGCTAATAACAATTCCCATCCAATTATTACCATTTGATATTGCAAACCCTAGAGACCTTACAAGAAACATGGTGTTCTCTAAAGTTACACTCAATTTGGGTCATAATAGTCGGCTCGATCACAGTGATTATGGGGCTTAATCCCACAATTACCTTTGCCACCTTATATTTTATCGTATTAAATTGAAAAAAAATTGCAGGCAACGTTTTCCACAACAACTTTTTATACTTAATATAACTGTATATCCAAAAAAGCAAATGTATTATAGCGCAGTTCCAAATGTTTATCTTGGCACTTGAAATTCAGTTCCGAATCTTTTTTCCTAACATTGCTCTTACGCAATGAAAAGAAAAAACAAATAAATAGAAAATGGACTGCGTAGGTGCTAGGGTGGCTTAAGAATGGAACATTTCAAAGGATAGTAATTACAAACTAAGGGGATTGAGGCTTCTTCTGACCATTACCCTGTATTAATCATATTCAAATAATAAATTACTACAACAAAAAAAAACCAATGTGATTTGATATTGAAAAAGAAGAAATCTGTGCCGTACTTTGTCCAGTTGCATGTGCATTGTTAATTATATAAGATCGAACTAATCCAAAAAAGTAAGAGAGAGAGAGAGAGACCTTGATCAAAACTAGCTTTTTTTTGGTCATGATGAAACCCTAGCCAGAGAAGACAATTGGGGTTGAATAGTGAGGAGAGGTACGCATGAGAAGACCTTTCTGTCCTCATAAGCATCACATCATCCACTCTTCCTAACTATAAATCTGTCTTCCTTCCCAATTATTTCCTAACAGTATCGACAGCCTTCTTTTGGTACTCAGTCTCCTTGAAGATCCTAAAAAGGAAAACAAGAAAGAAAGAGAAAAGATCGATCGAGATGGGACGAGCTCCATGCTGTGACAAGGCCAACGTCAAGAAGGGACCATGGTCACCTGAAGAGGATGCAAGACTTAAGGCCTATATTGAAGAGCATGGTACTGGTGGCAATTGGATTGCTCTTCCTCAGAAAATTGGTACGTACACAAAACTGACGCAATTGTTGATACACTCTAATATATACGCATCTGTATGATAATTTGTTCTTAGAGCTATTTTGATTTTTTTTTTTAAAAGTTGCACACCTATTTCAAAGCTCCATTTGATTTGACCTTTTGCAGGGCTCAAAAGATGTGGAAAAAGTTGCAGGCTGAGATGGCTCAACTACTTGAGGCCCAACATCAAGCATGGTGGATTCTCAGAAGAAGAAGACAACACCATCTGCAGCCTCTATATAAGTATTGGCAGCAGGTATAATTTAATTTCCCCCAAGAAAATTTAACCTCAACATGTTGTCTCTTTTTCCTTGTTCATGATACTTTCCCAATACAAATAATTGATTATACTCCAAGCTCCAAGATAGCAAGGGCACAACGCATCAAATAATTCAATAACACAGATCATTAATCTAACATCCTAGGGTTTTCTTAGTTTCTTCTTGGAGTCTAACATGTTGATATTCGATCCTTTACTTTTAGGTGGTCTATAATTGCTGCCCAATTGCCTGGAAGAACTGATAATGATATAAAGAACTACTGGAACACCCGATTGAAGAAAAAGTTACTCGGAAGGCGCAAACAGTCCAATATCAATCAATCTCCGTCTGATCAGAGTCAGGATCACCAGCTCAAGGACGCTGGCAACACACATGCCTTAAGCAGTTCAGCCCTTGAAAGACTTCAACTCCATATGCAGCTTCAAAGCCTTCAGAACCCTTTTTCTTTCTATAATAATCCTGCACTGTGGCCCAAGTTGCACCCTTTGCAAGAAAAGATGATACAGACCCTCCGTTCCATGAATGATAATAACCCTATGATGCACCACCGTGCTCTCACAAGTCCTCTTCAACCAGCTCAAGAGCAGAAGGGTAATATCAATGATGTCCATGAACAATTGCAGCTCACTTCTGCCTCTATCTTAATTCAACAAGAATTTGCAAAATTATGCAATCACAAAAATATGGATGAACTGGAGAATCCTTTGAATGGCATGTCATACTCGGACGCCCCCTGTCGTGCTTTCATCTCCACAAGTAATCAAGTGGACTCAACTATTGTGGCGGCAAAAGCCGATGGTGTAGAGCAGTTAAACAGTGTCGGAACTCATGATCATCATCACCAGCTTAATTCGGGCTTCCAAGGTGAATTTGGTGACGTTGTTAACAATAAATGTTTTGGTCTTGCAGCACAACAGGAAGATCATCAAATAGCTGAATTTGATTGTTTCAAAGACATCAATGTCTCCAAGGACAGCTTGGAGTGGTGGGCTAACGAGTTTGACGCCAAATCTGCGTCTTCAAACTCCTGGGATTCTATTTCTGTTCTTCAGTCCCAAGGGATGTTTCAAGACTATGAATTAGGTTACAACATGTAGTTACGGATAATAGAGAGGAATAATCTATATGAACCACATTTATCGACCATATTGTGGACTGCATCATTAATAGGAGATCAAAACACCAAAAATACAAGTGGGTTATACTACTATTGATGTGGTCTACAATTTGGTTTATAGATGTGTTCAAACAGTTTTATTGAATAGGGAATTGGGTATGGTAATTTTTCAGGGGGTCAAAAGATGATAACGGCAAAGACAAGAATTAATTAGTTGATATCGATCATAGCCTGCATGTTTGTAAATTTGTGTGAAGAATAATGTTAATATCGTTCTTATTGTCTTGCTAGCTCAATTTTATTCACGTGAAGTTTTAAGTTCACGCTCGAATCGGGGCTCCAAGGAATGCCCTTGACATAATACAAAATAGGGTAAATTATGTTTTACATCCACACCCCACCGCCAGCCAACCCACACCCCCCCCCCCCCCCCCCAAGTTTGGGGTCAATTGCAATCTCATATAACTTCGTTAAAACTTTTCAATCTCATACATTAATTATTAAGTATAATAACGGATGTATTAATAATTAATGTATGAGATTTAAATGTTTTAAAGATGTTGTATGGGAGTGAAACGTTTTAAAGATATTGTATGAGGTTGCAACTAACTCCAAACTTAAGGTAAAATGTAATTTTACCTTTTTTCATTAACTAGGCAAAAGCCAAACTTGCACAACATGAGAGAGCCCACGGGAGGGGCCAACATAAAGAGTAATCAAATATAGTTGTACTGTTATTTTCTTCCCTGTATACTTGTTATTCTCAAATGTAATGGTTAGTATTACTAAAGGTACATGTGTAAAGTGTTAGTTCTGTTAACACTATAAATACCAAGTGTATAACTAATTATTGTTTAATGAGAAATACATGTATTTTCAGTCAAAGAGTTTTCTTCCTTTCTAAAGCTTTCTCTGTAAGCTTCTATATGGTATCAATCGCCTTCTGCCTCCCCGCGACTTCGATCCATCCATTTTCCGTTCGCACTCTCTAATTCTTGCGGCCATTTTCTCTTTGCTTCTCTGATTTGTGTTCTTGTAAAGCTACATCAATGGCCTCTCCATCGGATTCTTCTCATGAGTCGGTGCCGAATCTAGCCCCAATTTCATCTTCCTCAAGCCCTAACTTCTCAAATTTGTACACTTCTCTTACGATTCAGAATATTGGCCGTATGGTGCCGATCAAGTTGAAACGCTCCAATTATCTCCCATGGCATGCATTGTTCGCTCTGATTTTCTGTCGCTACAAACTCCTTGGCGTTATTGATGGCATAAAACTGTGTCCTTCAACTCTACTTCTAGATTGTTCTCTCAATCCTGCTTTTGAACTTTAAAGATCAGAATCTTCTTATTTGGTTAAATTCCATGCTCTCTAAGGAAGTTATTCCATTTACGGTTGGGGTTTCATCATCTCGTGAGTTGTGGATCAAGTTAGAGTAGGGATTTTGGGGTGTTTCTGATGCACACATTCATCAATTGAGATCTCGTCTTCAATCTTTTCAGAAAGGCTATTTGTCCATCTCTGAATATCTGCAGCAAATAAAAGAAATTTATGATTCCTTGATTACTGCTAGATTCCGGTCATCGATCGTGATTTGATTGCCGTTACGTTTGCTAGCTTGCCTGATGACTACGAGTCATTTATCGACTCCATTATGCTTCGCCTCTCTAATACAACACTTGATGAATTGCATGGCTTGCTTTTCACCAAAGAATTGTCCATGTCTTGGCGAAAGAAACTTGCCTCCTCCACTACCACAGAACCATTTCATGCTTTTTTGGTGTATTCTTAGGCTTCTCAAGCTCCTCTTATTCCTACACCACAAGTATTTTCTGCTCAGTATCATCAATCATAATCCTTTTTGAAGCATAACTGTGGTAATCGAGGCAATAACTACAACAGTTGACGTCATACCTACCCTAATCGTGGCAATTGTGGCTCAAATTCCAATTCTAGAGGTAATCACTCCAATCACCGTAGCAATTCTTATGGTTCTCGTTCTTTCAATCCCTCTAGTTATCATGTACAATGTCAAATCTGTGGTTCCACTAGTCATGAGGCTATCAACTGTTATGATTGTATGAATCCTAAGATTGTTGGTAAAGTACCCTCTGCAAAGCTAGCTGCAACGTGTGCTCGTCATTCTGTAAAGCCCTCTACTCCATCCTAGTTAATTAACTCTGGTGCCACCTCTCACATTATGAATGATATCCAACATTCAATCTCCTAGTCCTTATCATGGAGAAGATAAAGTGTATATTGAAGATGGTAAAGGTCTGTCCATTGATCATATTGGTCTCTCTTTGCTGCATACTCCACTTTCTACTTTTAAATTGCACAATGTCTTACATGTGCCTCAAATGCAACACAATCGTCTTTCTGCTTATCAGTTTATTAAAGATAGCAAATGTTCATTAACTCTTGATATTGATGGATCCTATGTCAAGGATCGTACTACGGGGATGATGCTTTTGCGGGGACTAGTTAAGGATGGTTTCTTTCCTCTTCAAAGCTCCTCTACCTCTTGTCAATCTTCAATCTCTTCTCTTACTACATTAGTGAGTAATAAAGCCTTTGCAAAGGTGTGGCATAGCAAGATCGACCATCATTCTTCTGCCATTTTCAAAAAGGTACTCTCTACTACTCAACTACGATTTCAAGGCAAATATGCAGTGGACTTCTTCTGCATAGATTGTGCCTTAGCTAAGAATCATAAACTTCCATTTGGTAGTACTAGTTCTATTTCATCAACATGTTTAGATTTGTTGCATTGTGATTTGTAGGAACCCTTATTTGTGTTGTCAGTGAGTGGTTATAAGTACTACTTACTCATTGTTGATGATTTCAGTAGGTATTGTTGGTTTTTTCCCTTGATGTCTAAGGCAGATGTGTACTCCACTTTTGTACATTTTCAATGCTATGTAGAAAACATTCTTGGCAATAAAATCAAAGTTGTTTGATCTAACTCAGGGGGTGAATTTATTGGAAATCAGTTTCAATCTTATCTTAAGTCTTGTGGTATTCTTCAACAATTCAGTTGTCCCTATACCCCTGAACAAAATGGTTATGTTGAATGTAAACACAGATATTTAGTTGAAACTGCAAGGACTTTGTTAGTTCAATCTTAGGTACCTCATCAATTTTGGGTTGAGGCATTCTCCACTGCTGTCTATTTGATTAATAGACTTTCTATATTTGGTATTTCTCAGTCTCTGTGGGAACTTCTATTTCATATTCTTCCAGATTATTTAAGATTGAGAATATTTGGTTGTAGCTACTTTCCATGGCTTAAACCCTACATCTCTTCTAAATTGGACAGTAAGAGAGTAAACATTGTGTTTTCTGGGGGGTATAGTGTTCAACACAAAGGGTATCGATGCTTGGATCCCTTACTCAGTGCATTTATATTTCCAGACATGTCCTCTTTTATGAATCAGAATTTCCATTTCACAAGATTCAAGCTGCATCATCTCTTTCCTCAACCATATCTGCATTTTCTCCTTTTAGTCTTGAATTTCCCATTCCTCACTGTGCTCCATCTATTAACCTAAGTCCTTCATTGTCTACTTCTACTACAAGTCTTTATCTTCAAGATGCATCTTCCCTACATAAAGATCATGTTTCATCATCTAGTGTAGCTTTCTCCAATGCCACAGTTTCTCTGAATGTCACCAATATACATCCCATTGATGTGAAAATTATATTGACACACAAATTAAACCCTATTTGTGACAATTGTAGTATAAATGCAAGTAGGGATCATTCTAACCGGGGATTAACTAGGGATGCTAATCTACTCTAAACTGACTTAAAAACACAAAATTAAACTTTAAAACACTTACCTAGACCTATATGACTCAAAACAACTTAAAAAGAGTCAAAACAGCCCAAAACACTCAAATAGACTCAAACTAGACTCTAAAGGGTGATTTGGACGAAATTTAACTAATTTAGACTCAAAACACTAATTTGGACAGATTCAAACACTTTTCTAACTAATCTAACACACTTAATAAATTGGAGAATTGATTTGGACGAATTAATTAAAATGGACAGATTGTAAATTAAACAGATTAGGCACTAAACTAGGTGAATTGAATGGGAAAAAGGCTAGTTAGGGGGTTCTTCTACACACATGCACATATGTAACATAAATTGATTTCCAGATTTTATTCCTTTTAAACCATGAATGACAATGCCCCAAATGAATTGTGAAAAGCACAAATTAACTCTCAGATTTTCCTAGTTTCATTGAATTGGATGGAATACGCATCGACAATCAAATTATTCTTATCAAATTCCCTACATGAACTGCATAATAGAGATACAATCAAAGATCATTAAGCTTTTTAAAAACCCTAAGCATTGACTAGGCATTCGTAACTATGAATTGCATGATACTCTTGCCTAGAATTTACTTAATACAATCATGACTAGTGATTTCCACTACTTATGAATATAAGGTCATAACGATTAGGTGAAATTTCCTTATATCCTAGCATCAAATTCATGCATGAAAACTAAGTATGCATCCTTAATCAACACACAAGAACAAGTTCTCAATAAATCAATTAAGTAAATCACATCCACAATTCAAGAAACAAAATCTGGAGGAAATCAATTCATATAAAACATATGCCCATGGCTTTGAATTCACCCCTAACTAAGAAAAACTTAGTTACACATGTTCATAACAATTGAAAAGCAAATTAAAATAAACATGGAAACGAAACGAGGGAAGAAAGAACTCCCAAGGTCTCCAATGGATGCAGGTTTCTTGTGGCACAAGTCTCCTCCTCCTATGGAAGCCATGGCACTCCTTCTTCTCCTTAGGACTTGCGGCACAAGTGTATTTCTGAATGAATGGTGGCTGCTGTGAATGGATGAATGAATTGAAGGAAGGATGGCTGCCTAGGGTGTCTAAGGGGTGCAGTAGATGTGTATGGAGGTGTATGGAGGTGAAGAATGGATGATGGAGGTTGCGGCACAAGGGTTTTCTGTATAGCATAGGGGGTGTATGAATTTTGGCTGATTTTATGCTTATATAGTCCTAGGGTTAAGTAGATTAGGGTTAG